AAATAAAATCAAGTAACTTAGTCTTAGGTATCGCGTTGCATATGTTGTTTGGTAATGAAATTGCAAAAAAGGAAGAGCTAGTAGAGGCCGTACTAGGGATAAAATCAGGATTCCTCCCTAAAAGGAACGTTATTTTAGTACCCTCGCTCCTGAACTCATTTCTGGTTTATGTAGACCAATTTGGGCATGGGTAAACTTACGATTTGTGCTAATTATTCCATGAACTCCACATGGAAGAAAGGCATGAACGAGGTTTATGAGTTTTCCTAAAACTCATTGGCGACTCCTACTTATTTCTTACAAAAAAGCGTGATGAGAGTATCATTTCTAATTCAAGGTCTCCCAAACTGTTAGAAATTCAAATCCTAATACACCCTAACAAGTATAAACTCCTAGGCTTTTAAGGGGCCATGGGCATCTAAGGAAGGACCCCCTTACGATGGGATCACCCGCTTTACAATGAGACAACCATTGATCAACACTAACAAGAAAAAGATACCAAAAGTGAACCATAAAAGCAAAGGGGGAAACGGTGAAGCACACAAACAACTTAAAACACCCAAAGCTTGAAATGAAATACCCCCAAATCTCGAATCCTAATAGCATATAGGAATACTGATAACAACATATCATTACGTATTTTTTACCTTAATATTTAGATTAATCCTAATCATAGATACTAGTAGTTGCAATATTTTGGTTATGTCTTGAAGATGGACTTTCTTGGAAGACGAAGCCATGAATTTTAAAGTCAAGACCCTTAAAGACTTGAACACTCAAGAGGTCAAGCTAGTTCTCAAATCAATCATTTACTTATGTTTCCGATATATATTTATGCTTATATGTATGAATGATATTTTAGATCCATGTTTCAGATTTTGAATGTTGTGATGATTAATTATGTTCAATTAACTCAACCTACATAGAAACCCTAGGTCCCGAAAATAGTGAGTAAACTTTCAATTTCAAAACAACACTTACCTAACTATTGAGAAGAGTGTTGGGCTTCGCCAAAAAAGTGAGGCATTACTACTTTCCACGGAACGTAAGGTATGGTGACGAATTTGCTAAAGCAAGGCATCATAATACGAGTTGGTTTTGGTTAGACTCAACGATATGAGTGATGGGTCCTAACATGTTGTGGAAAAGGAGATAAATTATTGAGAGACCATTAGATGCGACAATTTATCTAACCAAGAGTGGCTTGGAGCCATTAGCAAAGAGTTGCTTACCTAGCTTAAAGTAATAAGTGTTAAGACAATCCAAAGTATGCTTAACTACTCATTGATTATTTGGATCTTTTAATCGCCTTATTCTTGCCAAATGGGAACATAATTAATGCGTGGAAAGATGTCTAATAAGATTGATAGTTTTCATGCATGTATGCTTTTAAATTAAATATTTATTATGTTATTTTCATGATAAATGGTTATACTTTGCACTTATATTTGTAGAATTTTAAGTAAAATTCTACAAATTTCCATGATTGGTAAAGGAAATTTTTTGAGTGGTTGTTACAGAAAGGAAAGGCATTTCCAAAATACAATTCTCATAAATGACTTTTATAACTATGTCCGTAAGCACGGTTGGACATCATGTATTCAAATTAATAAGTAGTTTTGATAAATATTAAATATTGAGTTGCAAACTCAAATTGTCAATGCCTGACAACCAACATATCTCTTCACCTTATACAGTACTGAGTACAACTCATTGATGTATTTATTCAAGTACAAATTAAAGGAAAAGATGAATCATTGTTATACGGCGCACTATATGCTTAATTATGCCTAACAAAGTATAAAAGTCAAAACACTTAAAAAAAACGGTTCTTAAAGGTTTAGAGATGATGTATAAATAAGAAATATAGGAAACAAGGAACAAAGAAAAGAGTAAAATTCCATTTATACTAAAGGGTTCATAATATTATAGTTAACTTAGCAAGTCATTATCTTCACAAGTATCGGATACTGCTTGAGTGTTTCACTTTAAATGTGACCTTAAACTATTGAAGTTAAGCTAACTTATTGACTTACAAGCTTAGAATGAAGCAAGAAGAGCTACATCAGTTGTAAGATCGTTTGCTTTGTTTAAAGACCTTTTATTACTAAGGCTGGAACAAATAATGGTTATTATCATGTTCCATAATCATCAAACAATCCGTTAATACACGGAAAGGCTAACATTCGAAGTAAAGAGCAATAGTTGCGAATTTATTTGAATGACATGGATATCAAAACCATGAGTCTAGAATGCTTGATTATAAAGAAACATTTCCCAAACAGAAAAATCACAAAGTTTAAATCATAGGCATGAATTGTGTTCCGAACATATTTATAATGTCACATTATTGAAAAGAACGTACTCAGGATAGGCTCTTAATAGTTGATCGATACAAAATCGTTCCAAGACAAGTAAGTCTTATTTGTTAAAAATTGTCAAAGTGAAGAGCTATTGTTCTTGGTAAAGACAATTGACTCCGAAAGCTAAAGAGGATTCAATCACTTCAACGCTTCACAAAAACATTTGAAAGAATATGGCTATATTCATCAAATGTTAACAAATTTGACCTTAAATAGCTCAAAAGTTAAGTGGTGTATAGAATCAACTTGGCAAGATATCAAACAACGTCAAGATTAGACCGAGCGATATTTTCTTACATCCAAAAACTAATTGAGAACATAATGTTTGTAAGTATACAATCAAGACTACGGGCATTACCTTCACAAACTAATTGAGAACATAATGTTTGTTGCTCTACATGGTGTCTTTCTTGAAAGTAACACATTTCCAAAATGACAAGGGGGGTGAAATGAGCTCGATGACCATCAAGTTTAGTAACAAACAAGATTAGAGAATCTTCGAAGACTCAGAAGGGCTTCATGAAAATGATTGATCAAGAATACTCAAAAGGACTTTACAAGTGACATAAAAGAGAATTTATTACTCACAAAACATAAAAAATGTAGAGTAAGATCAACATAATAAAACGCTTTTAAAATGTCTTGAAACTCAGTATTTGATGCAATTACCCAGTATAGGTATAGAATTCACCAAAGGTTTGGATTGAACCCTATAAATTTTTTATTAAGTTAAAAATAATCCTAATACTTACAAGCATACTATTTACTATTAGATGGTAAGGGAATACTGTCATGTAAATTAGCTACGACGAATCCAAATTCCGAATAATGGTTAGAGGCCATAACAACAGAAATAGACTCCATGTTTGAAAATCATGTTTAAAACTTGATTAATTTGCATGAAGGGTGAAAGACCCATCGATCGCAAAAAGGTTTTCAAGGAGAAAACTAACAAATGTTGAAATGTATATGCATACATAGCTAGATTGTTTGAAAAGGATATAATTAAATTCACGGAGTTGATTTAATAAAAATACATATTCACCATTCGGAATGCTTAAGTCTTTTTGTGATTATTCTAGCAAAATTGTACATATGAATTATGGTAAAATAGATACCAAAGCCGCATTCCTAAAATACGATTTTGGAAATGATTGTGAAAATAGTCTAAGGGTTTTAAAAATCTAAATAATGCTAGATTTGAAAGCAAGTTAAAGAAATGAATTATGGAATTGAACGAAGCATTGCATAAAGGAATTGGAACGTGTTCCCTTGTAAAGTTAATAAAAGGATTGACTTATGGAGAAACATAGAAATTCTTATGAATAAGAAGTTTAGTGGGACAAACAGTCAATCTCGTAAGGTCCAACAAGAATTTTACAAACTCTGTTTTAAATTACATATCAAATGCTAAATGCTTAAATTTGAAATTATTTTCGACAATGGACCATGCTAAAGGCGACATTTAGTACATATTTGGAATTAAGGTCTATTGTATAGACTTAATAAAATGTTTGAACGAGTAAAGGAATTTACCGTGTTAAACATGAATCGATGGACTTTGAAGGGATTTCGACCCATATGTATAAAACTAACTGTTTGAACTAAGTATGAGCTAGGCTAAATACTAAGTCAAACGAGAAAGACTCTATTAGAGACTTTCAACCGTATCACATAGCAAATATTTTAACAAGACTCGGTGAAACTAGATGAGCTAAAAGGTCACATGAATGGAATAAAGTAAGAATAATTCTGCAATTAAAACCATCATGTATAATATGGAGTCGTCACAGAATTTATATGCTTAGATCATGTTAAGAATAAGGTACCAATCAAATAAATCTAAGTTTTGAATCGTTAGATTATGATCAAGAACATCCAAAGTACTTGGATAAGTAAAAGGGATGGGTTCTTGACGCAAGGAAATAAATATAATTTGAGAATTTGTGTTGAAAGAACATCCTAAGGAAGGATCAAGATCCTTAACAAGGAAGCCATTTATAAGCACGAGCTAAAACACATCATGGGTTGAGCAAAATTTATGGTAAATTTCCATGATCACAAGTGACAAGGGTATCCAAAATCACTATGACCCGTTTCGAAAAAAATCGAAGCAAAGCACCATTAGGAAGTCTACTGAAATATATGTTGAGAATATTGTTTTTGCCTTAAAGGTAATAATAAGAAAGTTGTTCAATGGAAAGTTCGTTGTTGAACGTTAATGATTGTAAGTTGTCAAGTTGAAGATCTTGGGAGTCATCACTTGGAAATTAGATCCTAGATCAACTATAATCCATAACACTCTCAAATTTTATCATCTTATTATAACTAGTAGAAAAAGTGCTATTTGTAATGCCCTAATAGTAACTGACACAAATTATGTTAGTTACAAAAAGAGTATTAGTAACTGACATAGATAATGCGGGTTACAAATTAAATAAACTAGTATTATTAACTAGCATAACAAAAGTCAGTTACAAATAGTAGGTCAATGATAGGGTGACCAACTTTTAGTTAGGGGCATAAAAAATGTTAGTTACAAATAATAAGTCAAACTTTATAGACCTTATTAATTGTAAGGGGCTTTATTAAGGACGATTACTAATATTAGCGCCCACCACTCACACTTCACTTGTATTTTTTTTTAAAAAATTTTAAACAAAAATTTTTTTTTTTGAGGAAAACGAAAAAAATAAAGTTGGTACTGCACTTGCCTACTAGTAGGCGCTTCTTTCGCCTACACACCTTTATTTACTTTTTATTTTTATGTTTTTTACTTATCCCCAATTCCCAATTTTACAGAAAGAAAACATTGAAGAACCCTAACTTCTTACTGACTTCCTCTACCCTCACTCTCATTCAAGGACCGGCGCTGCTCTCAAATCGATGTTGGCCGCTCTCCGACGACGGCCGACCGGTGTTCGCCTGCTTGCCTTTAGCCTTCTCAGAGTTCTCTCTCTTCGACGAAGCAAAACTCCAGTCTTCAGGTTTAGTTTTTAATTAATCTATTTTTTTTAATTGTTAATTGAAATTATGATTTCATTCATTTGTGAATATATGATTCTGTGAATGTAATGTATTTTGATTATTATAGGTATGCGCCTTGATTCGAATTATGAACCCTAAGTTTGGCAAAATTCTTTTAATATTTCGATTCTGGTAGTCAATCATTGGTTTTTTAGGTTTGATCGCTTATTATATTTTCATTTATGTAGTTCTATTGTTGAGACGGTGGCGAAATTACGAATGTCCGGCCTTTCTATTAGCTGTATTGGGGAGCGGGAGGGGAAGGAATTGGATGTCCGATCACCATTGGGGAGCAAGATGGGAGCAATTGGATGTTCGGCCTTGGGTTGGGGAAGGGAAGGGGAGGAAGTGGATATTCGAAGGTCATTATTTCTATGTTTATTTGTAAAGGAAAACTTGAATTGACTCATGACTGTCAAAGAGCTTTGTCTAATACTAAATTGCTAAAGTATCAGTTTTGTAGCCTGATGAACATAGTTTTGCACAGGTGTATTTCTGCCACCAGACCATCAACGTTAAAATGAGATGTGATGGTAAGTTACCCGACTTGTCTCTATATGTGTTGTATAATATTGTGTAGAATTTATTATGATTAATTTATTTTTGTCTTCTAAATGTATTCCATCTTATTGTCATGGAGCAGACATGGGTTTCTGCTAGTTTATGATGTAACGAGTCATCATTTCATAGTAATATTATATCCATTAGAATCCCTCTGCCTAGGATGTTATGCTATCTATATTTTCCACTATTGAAAAAAAAAAATTTACATGAACATTTAATCTTTCTCAATGTAATATATGGTCTTTACATATATTGACTTATGTGAAGTGGACCTGAAAATCAGAACTGAATTCCGAACTGAAAATCATAACTGAATTTGTAACTGAAAATCAGAATTAAATTTGGAACTGAATATCATAACTGAATTCGGAACTGAAAATTAGAACTGAATTCATAACTGAATTCAGAGCTGATAATCAGAATTGAATTCATAATTGAAAATCAGAACTGAATTCAAAGCTGACTTTCACAACTTAACTAAGAGCTTATTTTTATGTGCGATCTTGAACTTATTTTTATGTCCTGTTGAGCGGGTCATTGTTGTTATCAGTTACTGTGCTGTCATTGTTCTTAGTCTTGAATTTTGATACTGATGTTTGAGATGATAGCAATTCTTTCCTTTTGAAAATCTGTTCCTATATTATGATTATAAATGTTTAAGATTAGCAATTTGTGTTTTGCCATGGTGTGTTCCTTTATTGGGGACAACTTTCTCCAATATTGAAACTTTTTTTAAGCTACCTTTAGTGTGAGACTGTGAGCTGGCTAAAAGTACAGGGAAAAGAAGATTTATTCTTTCTCAGAATCAATTAGACTTGAGGGTGCTGGATGTAGTGCGTAACTTACTTCCTAGGAGAATGATAGGAAATAAATTAATGATCATATTAGATTGTTTTGAAGATGAGACTTTTTTTTTGGCTCATTTGAAATTATTCTAAAATTCAGAACTGAAGCTCAAAACCAAAATTCGAAACTGAGATAAGTCTGAAACTCAGAACTGATGCTCAGAACTGAAATCAGTCTGAAATTCATAATTGAAGCTTAGAACTGAAATTTAGAACTAAAATTAGTCTTAAATTCAGAATTGAAGCTTAAAGCTAAAATTCAAAACTGAAGCTTAGAACTGAAATTCAGAAATTTGAATCCCTTTATTAATAAATGTAGGTTTTGTGATTCCCGGAACACGTTCTATTAAGTACTCGATACATCTTATTGTAATGAATACATGAAAGAGAGAACAAAGGTGAAAGTAAAAAGGACTAAACAATATAAAGGGCAATCTATTTATCAGCCACAAGTTGATAGCCTTCTATTTGCTGCTCCCGCTGATAAATATGCATGAAATAAGTAATGCAGTAGGTCATATAGTGGTGATTGTGCATTTTTCTTTCTAATTTTCATGTGCGTTTCGCTATATATATATATAATCCAAATTTAATCTAAGGTTAGGAGGTTTAACGTAGAGTCCATATACTCCCTTTCAGGGTTGACCCATACTTTGGTAAGGTTGTATCAACACGGGAATGGCTGGGTCAAATGGTAAGTCCTAGCATCAAAACTACTTGATATATATACTAGAAAGCTTAGGACATAGGCCTCATATTTATATTGATTGGACAAGGTTAAGCTATTAATCTTGACTCAGGGGGGCAGATGACTTCTTATTGTCCATACTTTATATAGTTGTAGCTAGCTATTTGCTATATGTGTAGCTTGTTTAACTTATTAGATTTGTTTGTATTTTAATTAAGGGGTTCTAATAGTACTAGACTTTTCAAATAAGTGTGTTTTTATTTTCATTTGTATATGTGAAGCATTCAATGATCATTTGTTAATCTTTGTGCTTAAATGATGCTTATGCAGTATCTGAAGAGAGATGTAGTGAAGTGGAAAGCCTGGTGTTTGATCTATTTGCAAATCTTGGTGCTACAGGTTTGTAATCTAAATGAGAATGGCCGCTTGATTAATGCTATTTTATTTATGATTTCTGCCATATCTGCAAATTAATACTGCGTGACATAATTTTTAATGCTCTAGCAGAGGAACAGTTGGATTTTCCTGTTCTTTATGCTTCTGTAAAAGAAGGATGGGCATCATTAGAGTACACCAAGAGCCCCGCTGAAGAAGCTAAGAATATGTTGGATTTGCTTCATATCAATAGTCAGACATGTTACTCCACCAGCAGCGAATCTTGATGCTCCTTTCCAGATGTTTTGTATTTGAATATGCATTACTAGAAACTTTCTTGGATTGTGATTTGGGGTGGCCTGCAAATTTAGTCTTCTTTACTGATGAGGTAATACATTGATTACACGTAATGATCTAAGATATTTGTAACATAATTAAATTAATATTTATCTTTTCTTGAATGTTATGACTTTGTCAAAAAAGGCGGAGAATGAGTTGGTGCAAACCAAAGAGAAAGCTAATAGTTGCGGACCGAATGTGCATATTATGTAATGAGATGTATATGTATGAGATAGTACCTTTCATAGCAATTGCAAGGGAAATTTGAAAGAGGTTAATGATTAATTTACCTCTTCTTTGCAAGCTAAAATGCTTTATACGAGTTTTAGTTGATGTTTTATTTTTATAAAGTATTATAGACATGTATTTTTTTTTAATATTTGCAAGAGTATTTGGCAACACTTGTATCCTACAACGATATAGAAATAGATGAGATTTGAGAACAATGGGCTATGTGTTTTAGGCTTAATTTTTTGGAAAGACTAGTTTTCTTATTCGTGTTATGATTAGTTGTGTTTAGCTTAATAAAACAATATAACACTTTTCTATATATCTACTTTTATTTAGCCTAATGATTATTGTTATTACATTTTAAAATTATAAATCAATGTTTTTTTTTATTCAAGTTTTAATTATTTTTTGGAAAGTATAGTTAATTTTGTTGCACTGTATTGTTGTGGATAAATAATACATATGTGGGATTATTTGGAGTGTTTGTATTGTATGTTGTGGATGAATTTAAGTTTTATGGAAGTATTCGGAGTACGTGTTTTGTCGGTTGAATCGTAACTGGTTGTAATTCATTTGACGATGGGACGTTTGGTAGGATATATTACCATTCTTGTATTCGAATCAAATATTTATTAAAAAAAATTATTTATTTATTAGTAACTGGCATAATCTAATGCTAGTTACTAATAATATTTTTAAAAAAAAATTAAAAAATTATATTCGTAACACTTTTTGTAATTGGCGTTAGGGTAAGCCAGTTACAAATAGTACATTATTTGAAACTAACATTATTCAGTTTGCAAAAAACGTTATTGACTTGCTTGAGGAGTTGTCTGACTTTTTCAAAAAGATATGTTTAACTGCTATAGATACAAGGGAATTAGATACCATTCAATCAAAGCTCGTGTTGACTCTTTGCAAGTTTGAAAACGAATTTTTACCAACATTTTTTACAATCATGGTTCAGATCATCTACTAATTCATTTAGTGGAAGAGGTAAGACTAGGCGGACCGGTTCATTATAGATGGATGTATCCTGTTGAAAGGTACTTTTTATTGTTATTATTATTATTATTATTATTATTAGGAAAAATGTAAACTAATAATCCCACCTTTAGTCGGTCTTCCATAAACAATCCCACCTTTTGAAATTCCAGAAACAATCCCACCTTAGACCCCCATCTTCCATTAACAATCCTTTACCGGTTGGATTATTTTGATAACCTGTGTTCATAGGTTATAAGACACGTGTCAAGTTTTAATAGGTTTAACCTAATTTTTTTTTGTAAAAAAAACCAAACTAATAAAAATAATAATAATAAAAAAAAAAACCAAAACCCCCAGCCCAGCCAACGTATCCCTTCCGCATCCCGCCACTGCATCCCCTCCCCATCCCTGCCCTTGCTTTCCCCGACAACCCTACCTACCCCTCCAAGGCGCCGGAACCCTACCCCTGAAGCCCGAAATCAGCACCTGCAGCTGCCTAGCATCCCCAAAAACCCAACCCCATCCGCCGCCCAGAAACCCTCTTTCTCCTTCTCCTGCTCTTTCTCTCTTCTCTTTGGTATGTTTTCCTCTCCTCTGAATTCATCAATTCATTCCCTTTCAATTCGATTTTTTAGATGATTGAAATAATAATTTGCGTTTAATTTCAAACCAAAAATCAAATTGGAGACGATGGGTGACATTTTTCGAGGCTGGAGTAGAGTATTTCGTGGCTGGGGTGAAGTATTTCGTGGCTGGGGATTGAGTTTCAGCTTTTCAGGGGCCTGTGGTGGGGTTTTTCATGGCAGTGGGTGGAGTTTTCGTGGTGGGGGTTGGGTTTCGGGGGTTTTTCAAGAGTTTTATTCATAATAAAATTCTCCATTTATTTTTTTTTGTCTTTATTTTTATTTTATTTTTATTTTTTTTTATTTTGGGGAAGTTGTAAAACTTGTCCCATTTTCATTTTCATTTTTATTTCTTCTTCTTTTTAGGGAAATTGCAAAATTTGTCCCATTTTTCATTTTCCTTTTCTTTTGGGGAAGGTTGGTGCCCTCCACTTACGATTTTTTTCGCGTCATTAATAAATACACAATCACACACAATGAGTCTCAAGCACACACTAATACACACTAAAAAAGGCATAAATTGTGAATAAAATATACAAAGTGAGTCATAATGCATAAATAGTGTCAAGTTCCATCAATTAAAGTATATAATAAAAATCCTCGGTCAAAAAGCTCAAGAACTAGAAGATTTATGATCAATGTCATCTCAAGCCTGTGAATACTGGAACGACGGACCAAAGAGTCCCTCCATCATCCGGGTATGAGGAGTAGTATCAATACTAGTCCCTATAGCTGCAGTAGAAGACACACTCAAAGCGAGACCTGTCCAGCTGGGAAATGGTGTAGGTTGACTCCAAGAGGAAGGAAGCGTCGGTGAAGGCATCGTCCCAGACAATCGAACTGAAAATAAGCCCTGCACCAATGGAGGCAGCGCCCCAGACAATGGAACTGAGTATAAGCCTTGGTCCACGGGAGTAATGACTGGCTTGAACTCAGGCTATGAATGATGGAAAGATGAAGGTCGCTGCCACTGACCCTGAAAGTGTAGGAATGAATGAGAAGACTGAGGCTGCCACTAAGGCTGCTGCCACTGAGCCTCCTGAAATGGCTGAGAAGACCGAGGCTGCCGTTGAGACTGAGAATGCCGACGAACCTCAAAAGATCGTATGCGGTGACTAGGCTCCCCCTCGTCCGAGTCTCTGTTCCTAGAGCGTAAGCGAGACCTCCGTCGCTCCTGAAATACACAAAATGAAAAGATGTCAATAGTGCAAGATAGAACAAATGGTAAATATGGGGAAAAAATGTGAATATACCTCGAGAACATCGCTAGATCCGCGTCGACAACTCGCACCACGTCGAAGCTTGATGATGAATTACTTCAAAGCGTCAACCAACTTCATAAATCCCATCGTGTCCGAGTGCGTAGGCTGAGAACAAAGAAAAACCAGTAACAAGCGGTATTAAAAAGGATGATACTGTGTCAAAAAGTTTACCTGCTCAAATACATCAGGCAAAGATTACTGTGCCTGTCTAAAACCCTCTGGTGCGGCAGCAGTATGATCCTTAGTAATACCGATTAGCCCTAGGTAATAGACAGATTGAGGTGGGATCTCAACCTTCCCCCTACGACAAATAGTCATTTGGAAACAAGATTGAATAATCAGGTTATTCAACGGTTTGAACAGAGACTAACAACAAAATTCTCAAAAGAAATCATACCTCGGGAAGACGGGAAGAAGGATCCAAAGAAGGAAGAAAGTCTGTAGACATCTACTTATGGCCACCTATCCCGACAGGAAGTGCAATGACGATAAATAAAACCATCTTCGTGTTGGATTGAAGTGAAGAATGCTTAGGGATAACTGGTTAAGCAACAAAACATAAAAGACCAGCCCAAATTAAAGAAAAAGCCAAAACAAAGGTCCAACTAACTAAACCCGATTATAATTAGGCTTAAGCCCGTGCTTAAACCCTAATAATGACGGATTTAGGAGCGTCTAGGTTAAAACTTAGTGATGCCGTAGAAAAAGCCGCACGCATCTCACATAGTCGCACTGGGCCGCCGCGCGCAACTAATTCGGTTGCGCGCGACACCCAGAGCAACTTTCAGAGTTGCGCGTTGCGCTGCAGAAGATTCAGAATTATTTGGAATAATACGGAAAATATAAAATCGAATCTTACCATAAAGCCTCGCACAAGACAATTAGTTGCGCTGCACATAGCAGCGCAACTCTATAACTTGCGCTGGGATGCCGTGCGCAACTCTATCTTTTGCACGCGACACCTGCTACGGAAGAATGCTCAAAACCCTAAACCTAATCATTCCCTATAGATACGAGCTTAAATCGTGGCTTAAACAGACATAAATTAACCTAAAACTCTGGCGAAATACTTTTTGAACTTGTGCAACCTATCCCTCTTGTCCTAAACACTCACCCTTTCGATATCTTGTTACTACAGTGGAGGTTCCCCAAAAAGAAGGAGTCCATAAGTGTTCTAAACGGAGATCTAGCAAAGAAAAGTTGTAAATTCCCAAGCACTTAGTTAAATCACCTTTATTTTCTTGTTTAAAAGGACTTTAATTAATTAATTGATTAGTGTTCTTTGATCACCTTTAAAATAATTAATTAATCAATTCCACATAGTATCTTGCGTTAAATAAAGATTAGAATTGAATTAAATAATTGATGATTGATCACTTAAGCCAAGGCGAATCTTGTTTATTTTCTTGTCCTTTCCACGAATTTAATTAAATAAGAATAACGACATTACGATGTAATTCCTACGTGAATTAATGTTTGTAAATAAAATCAACTAGCATAGTTTTAGGTATCGCGTTGCATATATTTTTTGGTGATGAAATTGTAAAAAATGAAGCGCTAGTAGAGGCCGTACTAGGGCTAGGATGACGATTCCCCTCTAAAAGGAACGTTATCTTAGTACCCTCGCTCCCAAACTCATTTCAGGTTTATAGACCAATTTGGGCATGGGTAAACTTATGATTTGTGCTAATTATTCCATGAACTCCACATGGAAGAAAGGCATGAACGAGGTTTTTGAGTTTTCCTAAAACTCATTGGCGACTCCTACTTGTTTCTTACAAAAAAGCGTGATGATAGAATCAATTCTAATTCAAGGTCCCCCAAACAGTCAGGAATTCAAATCCTACTACACCCTAACAAGTGTAAAGTTTTAGGCTTTTAAGTGGCCAAGGGCATTTAAGGAGAGTGCCCCTTACGATGGGATCACCCTCCTTACAGTGGCGACTCCGCTTGGGACTTAGAGGTGACATGATTAATCATGCCACCCATATCACCAACAAAAATGTTGGGAGGGCGATGCCATTGGTCAACACGTTGAGTGATTGATTTATGCGTCGTTTCTTAAGGTATGGTGATGTGTCTATTTTATATAATATTTTACCCCCGTCCCTTGGTCATAATTAGTAGTGTTTTTGGCTCTTTAGAGTCACTTTTATTACTAATTGGTTTTTTCTAGTGTTTTTGTAGATTTGATTGACTTTTGCAGGGATTTACAATTTTAGAGTATTTACCCGAGATATTTTGGAGCAATCACGAGCATTGGATAAGCACGACCAGATTTTATAGCCCAGGGCCGGTTAGAGCCATCGAACCGATGATTAAGGGCTCGGTATAGGTGATACT